GAGTAGCTGCTCTTTTCTCGTTCTGGAGTCTGAGGATGTCTTGCTAGTACTGATTCAACGTCTTCAGATTTCTTACTAGCTTGGTGATTTCGCCGTCTTCGTCTTCTTCGACTTCATCGTCATTTTGGTCGATCTCGACTTCTTGGACGTCACCTTCCGGCGTTTGCTCTCGCCCTCCTGGCGCTGCGGTATTATCCATCTACGGCTGCGGCACGGGTGGTTCCGTAGCGGTTGCTGCATCATTTCGCGTGGCTACTTCTGCTGCGACCGCGGTGGTTGCAGCCACGGATGGTCTTGCTTTATCCGTCGTTATCTTCATCTTCTTTGGTGACATGATAAGCTCGAGCGACAACCACGGTGGGGGCCAATGTTGTTCTTGGCCAAGGCCTTCAAACCCCGGTTGCCGCTGAAGCAAAATCAAACACGAGTAGTGGGTAGAACGAAACTTGGCGAAACAAGGTAGATGATTCCATTAACTTGTTCCTCCTCCTTTACATTCCCTCAATCGGGGCTATTTATACACGTACGTAGGCTTTTCATAGGACGGAAATGCCCTCTCAACTACTACAAATTCGGGGAATAGTGCCCGCTACTTTGGGCTCGTTTGCCACTTGGAGCACCCGCCTGCCTCAGATAGCGCCGGCTTGGAGAGGCCTGACCGGCTTCGCCTCATGTTGCCTGTTCAACCAATCGGGTGGGCCCCTGGCCGTCAGCAGCTGTCGGCTACGTGAAGGCGGGTGGCTCCTGCTTCGACGAAACCTACAGAAACAGTCAGTCGAACCGTTAATGGCCATTCGCTAGGGCGAATAGCCGAGACCGACTGCGCGCCCTCCTTTGGCGAAACCTGCGGAAACTGTCGGCCAAACCATTAACTGTTATTTGCCAGGGCGAATAGCAAAGAGTGTCACCGGGCCTGTCGCTAGGGTGAAAGGAAAAGAACCTAGCGTTGCATGGTCCCGGACGCAGAGTCCACCCTTTCGCTATAGCGAAAAGGGATATCTAAGAACGGGACATCAAGTGCCACATTCACTTCGTTGATGCGAGAAGGGGGCCCGGCACATCTCTCTTCACGCATAGCCAGCCCTTTCGTCCGTCATTGTAGCAAAATGTTGGGTGCGCTGGAGTCCGACTCCTGCTATTTTGCTCCTGCAAGAAGTCAGGGCGGCGATCGAGCCACATAGGGTGCCCGTAGGAGGGGCACGCCCCCAACATACGGTGAAAATATAGGTTTACTCCTTGCTTACTGGCCGTAGAGTGCGTGATCCGGTCTGAGACGTGCGCTAATCACTTTTGCTTAAGCGGAAGCAAACTATTCCGCATTCACATCAGTATTAATCTTTCCTGAATTATTAATTAACTTTCTTGACTTGTCCGCCCGCAAAAAAAGGCGAGATTTGGTGCGGTGAAGAGACACTCCACGGAATCTCTCCCACAGCTCATCCTGTTTTTCCTTCCATGGATTCCTCGCGCTGAGCGCGGCCTCGCCGGTGGCGCAGCGGCGATGGACCTCCCATGGCTGGATCTGCCCTTCACCTTCCTTACGCTGCTCCTCGCCACCCGCCTCGCCTACGACTACTACGGCGACGTCGCAGCCGCCTTCGCCGGCGGCTTCTCGATCCAGGTCTTCCTCTTCTACTGCTTCGCGCGCTGGTACCGCCACGCCATCGCCGGCCGCGCCGGCGACGATGCTGGGGGCCGCGACGACCCGTCGCCGTCGGCGCGGCCGCAGCAGGGGGACGCGGACGCCGCGCCCGTCCTGACGCCGCTGCTGGGGTCGCCAGACGGCGTGCGGCCGTCGACGCTGGCCAACCGGTGCTTCGCCGTGGTGTTCATGGTGTTCGTGCCGCTGGTCATCGTCGTCTTCGAGCGGAGCCAGGCCGACGTCGTGGCCTACGCGCTCTGCCTCGCCAACATCATCGTCATGGTCGTCTGGCTCTCGCCGGACACCGGGTCAACGGTCTCGGCCGCTAAGTCGTTCCTGCGGCTCAGCGACGACGAGGACGACGGCAGCGGGGGCAGCGCCGGCGGCGCAGAGGACAAGTGCTGCGTCTGCCTCGCCGGCATGCGGGAGGACCAGGCGCTCAGGGCGCTGCCACGGTGCCGCCACCGCTTCCACGACAAGTGCATCGGCAAGTGGCTCAAGGCGCACCCGACGTGCCCTGTGTGCCGGGCCACCGCCGTGCCGCCGCCGCTCCACGGCGGCGGCAGTGATCCGCTAGATGACGATATTAGCCCTGTCTAGCTAGCTTCCCTCTCAATGATTGATGCATCTTATCTAACAAATTTGTGGTGTTTTGTTGGGAAATTTGGTGAACCTGTATAGTAATCCAAATCGTTGTCAAGCATCAATTGAAACTGTTAGTAGTGATTTGTACATACGGTCCCGTTTGTGCACTCTGAAAAAAGCAAAGCCATGTTTGCTTCATGAAAGGTGCAATCATTGAACATTCTGTTCGGGGAAGAGGAGAAAAAATGTATGGTTTCTTGGGGTGGTCGGTAACTCGGTGGATTACAAAATGTTAACATGGCCCTGCCAACTACTCCACTTTGATGCTGCTTTTGGTGTAGGTTTAGGAGCACCTCCTACAGTTTATCTAAATCAAGCCCTTTATTTTTTAAAGAGCAAAATGCACCATAGTTCCATTACCTTTTTAAGTGGATGTCATCTAGATCCATCAACTCTGAAAGTATATTTTTAAATCTCTAAACTTTTTAAGCGGTTCACTTGAGGTTGATACACTTTCCTTTCCCTCTTAGATCTGATGTGGCATGTACAATCGGCAATCAACGAAGCATGTAAATTGCAATTGCCCCCCCCCTCACTTGTTCTCAATCTCCTATTCGGTCTTTCTTCTCCCCCCCCCCTCTCTAACCATGCCTCCCGTAGAAAATGCCCTATGACTAAATTGTAGTGCTAGATGAGATCTAAACCTTTATTATTGATAAATTTTTATTTAAGATTTATTGAAGGCCTAAATATTAAATGCGAGATTCATATTGGTTAAAATAAAGGATAACATACTATACTTGATCACAAAATGACTAGTGTGTGGTATGGTGGTATGCGAGGCTCATGCAAGAACAGAGGTCAACCCATGGACACAATTATGTGAGAAAAAAATAGAAGATTGAGGCTTTGCGACCCTACAATTGCCTGTGAGCAAGCATTTTTTTATATTCTTTGGCATGGTTTAATACTTTTTATTTTTTTTAAATATATTTTCTAGGGTTGGTCAACTATGCTAAAAATCATTTTTCATGTATGGTTGACTTAATAAAATTGCTATAAAAATGATTTTTAAGGATCGTTGTACGTCCTTCCGAAAATCTTTCATTTCTAATCGTTGGTAGAGGCGTAGAGGTTCTAAAAACTGTCTAAAAATATTTTTGACTGTATCTAAAAATTTAAAAATTCCTGTGTGGTAGTATTTTTCACCTCAATTGTTGCCACCGTTATCTGATGGCGATGCGGTGTTGTGATGTAGTGACACATGGCTGTCATTGGCTGCGCACACCTCTAGTAGGAGCGTACCAGTGGCATCTCTAGTTTTTGCTTTTGAGACTGTTCGTTACAAGAAATACATCTGAGTGTTAGGATACACGCTTTCCTAAAATTTTAAGCCCAGATCAGATATACATATTCTCAATGTGAACTTGAGTGCACTTGGAGGTATCGAGGGAAAATTGATTCATTTCCTCTCCAATCTACTTGTATTGAGAGAATAGAATTACCCGAACATGTATTTGGGGTGAAAAAGCTTATCGGGAAAATGTTTTTTCTCCATGTAAGCTTGATTCAACTCATCGTCGTAGGCTCTATTTATATCATATGGTCAAAAGTTTAGTTGCCTGTTAAATTTTAGACTACTTTAACATATTTGTGCAGCCTAATGAACTAATGATCTTTATAGATTGGCTAAACTTTAGAAAAGATTTTAGACCACCTTCAGAGCCTAAAGAGCTACTACCTCTATTTCAAATTATAAGTTATTTGAAAAATCTTAGAGAGTTAAAGCATCTTAGATTTGACCAAAATTATAGAGAAAAATATAAAGATTTATGATATCAAATATGTATACTATAAAATTATAACTGATAAAGAATCTAATGATACTTAGTTAGTATCATAAATGTTATTATCTTATCATATAAATTTGGTCAAACTTGAGTTGTTTTCACTCTTCAAGATTTTTGGAATGACTTATAATTTGAGATCGAGGGAGTAAGTTTAAGGCCTAGACTTTAGACCATGGAATCGAAGCAAGGTCTTAATCTAGATAATTTTACTCTGCATACTAAAACGACGTATAAAGTAGAATGAGTGAGTATTTGCGTTGCAGAAACTAAAATGTCATTTTTGAACCAAAATCCCCATAACAGATTCCACGAGCATGCAGATCATGTCGTCATGGTAATTCTACAAATAGAGTATACTTACTGGTCCATCAAAATCGACTAGATCGATCGCTGGCCGCTGGCCGGGTCACCTGCAGGCTACAAGTCCACACCAGCCGCAATGGCTCGCCGTCAAACTATCCACCACCGGGGCATCGAGGTGCTCGACTTCGTCATCTTGATTGCCTACCTGCAGGCTACAGGTCCCCACCAGCCGCCATGGCTCACCATCAAACTGTCCACCACCGGGGCATCGAGGAGCTCGACTTCGTCATCTTGATCGCCAGGATCGAAGACTGCTGCTGTTGTGGCCGTTGCCTTCTGGAAGAACGTTGCCATCATTTTTCTAGGTGGGCTGCCCTCTCTGTTCTGTTTCACCGTCTGCTTCCGTGTATTCTCGGCCGCTTTTCGCAAGGGGAGAGTATCGAGGTGTCACATTGAAGGTGACGAGGAGAATAGGGGAGTGTTCGGCTGGTTGGTTGAATAAATTAAAATATTGTTCCGGCTGAGTTGTTGTGAGAGAAAAATACTGTTTATTTAAATAGTGCCCGCGCCAGCACCAGCCAGCCGAACACGCCCTAGGTCGTTGCAAGAGGCTGGCCCCCATGGATCCCCAACGGTACCAAGAGCGCAGCGGCATTCAGCTAGCGTCCGGCCATCGCCACTGCCAAAGCCAGGAAATTGTTGCCAGCCACGGCGGACAGGGTTTACTCCACAAGGACTATATCGAGCAGTTCCTGCGCGTCCACCAGATCGACGTCTTCAATCTGCCGTTCCAAGGTGCCCCACGACTCCAGAGTCCAGAGGTCATGCTGCGCATGAATGTGATGGCGTTTTTTGTTACTTGTTCATGAACTAGCAAGAGCCCCGCGGCAATTGCCTCGGGCTACGCGGAGGCAGCTGATATTTTTGGTTTTTTCGTCCTCTAAAACATAATATGCATCAATTATCTGTGGCCTGTGTAGGCAAGGGCAGGAGAAGTTAAATTTTTTTGAGATATGTTCTTTGTACCAGTAAAAGTACCATGTACAATTGTATATGCTGTAATGGAATAGAGACAACACATGTAGTACTGGAAGGTGTGCTGTATCAGTAAACCTGACACAGCAGAAGGTGGTTGTTTATCTACAAAGAGTACACAAAGGCTGGAAGGTTACATACTGGAAAACTAAGCAAAGAGAAAACACATTCATAGTCATCTACAGGTAGAGCAATGGAGCAGCGCTTCTGATTTATGAATCCTCCAATCTGTAAGGCTTACGTTTTGTATGGGCTTCTCCAGTCGGTGCAGCATTTATTTATTGGCTGTGACAAATCTGATAAAAAAACAGAGTGACTGCATTAGTAACCATGCAATGGTCAAAAAGCAGAGAGCAATGAACATAGGTAGTATGGAACAATAAGTGATATTGATTAGCAAATAGCAGAAACAAAAGGATCAAAGAAACTTTGATATAATAGGGGATCAAAGAAACTGTGATATAATAGGGGATGCCTAACACATTATTAACACAGCACAGTTTGATAAGATATTGTTAAGCTAAATAGTAAGAAAAAGTGATCACGTGTGGTTGGATTACCTTGATCTTTACTGTAAGATATTACTGCTGTGGCAAATCAGCAAAAATCTTCGAAATTGGTGTTTACAAGCCAGCAACATATTTCTAAAAAAATTATACAACCGTTAGTGGACCTGAAGGGGAAAAATTGGAGATGCCCATTAGCGAAATATTGTATATCACGAAGTATATGGCTTCTCAAGAACATAACCCGACACTACAATTCATATATAAAGTAGGGCCGGTCTAGTAAATGCACTGGTTTGGACGGATAGGGACTGGATCTATCAAATGACACTAAATATTTTGTGAAGAAAATCAAAATTGCATTGAAATAATAGGTAAGCCTCAACCGAAAGTCTGCATTATCTATTGTACAGGCCATTAGCTTCTGACTCTAAGCCAGATTGATCATCTTCCTGTTTGCAGTCCCTCTGTTAAAGGAGATATCATGGTTTAAAATCAGTACGTGGTATCATGATATTATAGTGCAGGTTTCAAAAGAAGCGCACTGTGATTCGGAAAAGAAGAAGATCAAACACAAGAACCTTATTTTCCTCAATATCCACAAACAATTTGTGCTTGTAGGTACTGATTTTTTTTTTTACATAAGACATACTGGCAGGAACATTTATTTGGCTTGAAATGCATTCCAAGCTGTCCCATGTAAACCAAAGCATTAGGAGTAAGATCAAATGCTAGAACCTTCTTTTCCCTAAAATTTCTGCCTGTAGGTACTGATTCTTTTTTTTTTTACAAAATCCATACTGGTAAGAACATTTATTTGGCTTGAAATGCATTCTAAGCTGTCCCATCTAAACCAAAGCATTAGGAGCATCAAAGCTGACTACAAATATGTTGAACAAAAGGAACATGGTAATGTTATGTTAATACTGAAACTGAAACATTTTGGTTTTGGTATGAAGCCCTGTCTTCAGAACTGGATATATGGACTTGGGAGGTATGAACACACAGTATCAGATGGCGTAGCAAAGATAAGCACAGTGGGATATCAAAGGGCATCAAGAAACCAAAATGGGAAATTAAATGGCATAAGAGGAAAGCACTGCTGGGACCGGAAGAAAGCTAACTGTAAGACCTATGGAATAGATGTACCTACCAAATAGATGTCAGATTTCCGGTTCAATTGGAATGTACAAACAACTAAACAGGTATGTAGAGATATATAAATGGGAATATTTGTTTAAGTATTTGTATTAGTATAGGCAGTAACAATATCAATGAGATGGAAGTGCATAGTGTCTCAATAAAAATATGAACACAAAGCTGACCTTATACATATTATAAGGAAGCATTGAGGCATTTTTGTTAGCAGCAAAGCGCAAGTATAACCTCAGAACAGAAACGTTGATAATCCTATGACTACAATAGTACAGGGAGCAGACTCACCTTGGTGTTTATGGGACCATAAGCACCGGATGAGCAAGGAAGCTAGCATTTCCTCATGGTGGCAGTTAAATAACTAACATTTGCCAAGCGGTTAACAGCTACCAGAATTGTGGTTAAATATTTTTCATTGAAAACTCTGAAACCTATTGTTAGTAAAAAAATGTTTAAAATCAGTCAAGAGGTTTCAGTTTGCGTTAACTACAAAAACTGTATCCTATATTGCAATTCTATTTGAGTGAAAAATATTAAGCGAAACAACATATATATGAACCACAGGGGCATTGGTAAACACAGGATTCTTAGAATAATAAAAAAATGGAATAGCTATGCATTAGCAGGAATCTGATCTATGAAGAACACGTATTCCATCAGGTTTGTTATCACGAAGAATGCTGTAAATGTATATAAAAAACCAAAGAAGCACACATTTGAGATCGGACCGAGATCGAGAAGGATGAGGAGCCAGCAACCTCACATACGGCGGCGAGGTACTCGAGGACGACGGCGAGGTAGACCTGCGAGGGATCAGATCGAGATCGAGAAGGATTAGGGGCCATGAAGGTCAAGGACGGCGGCGAGGTAGTCGACGACGACGAGGTAGACCTGCGACAGGTAAACGCTTGGTCGCGGCGCCAAGGATGACGGTGGCCACCAGCCGGCACTCCCGGCCTGGGCCCACCTGCGGTTGATCCAGGCGCGTATCCACCGGCAGGGGCAGCCGCATCGGCACCGCCGGCAGGGGAGCCTGCTGCACCTCCATCCACACGCGTGGCTGCCGGCCGAGCCGGTCGCGTAGCGGGGCCAGCACCGGGGGAGAGGAAGAGGGACGTTGTCGATTGGGCGCAGCTACTTGGGCCATGGGACGGAGGAGAAGAGGGCGAGCCGTCGAAGGAGAGGACGAGGCAACATGCGACCTCCGGCCGAGCCGGCCGCCGAGGAGGCGAGGTCCAATGCAGTGCTGCAGGGCATGGGCGAGAGGCCAGCGACGGAGGAGGACGGGCGGCGCTGGAGGAGCGGAGGATGGGGCTTAGGGGCCGGGACCGGGAGCTGGGCGATGCCTCTGTGCCGCGAAGAGGATAAGGTTCTGGCCCCGATCGCTTCCTATAATATATATCGTTGCCGCTGTGAGAGAAAATATCGTTTTTGCTGAAAAAATAAGTTAAAAAGTATAAATTATAAGAGAAGCGAACCGAACCAGGGTAGGGTAAAGAAACTTCTAGAGGCGGTACCCAACACGAATGGCTGGGATGAAGCGCTGGCACGCCGATCGGACGGACGCGGCAAGCCGAGGGAACTGTAGGACTGTTCATCGAGCCACTGGTCTTAATTAATAAAATAATAATAATAAGGTGGCTGAGAAACAAGAGATCTATAGATATATGATAACATTTTCTACAGCCTTATTCATTTGTTGCTTGATTTCCTCAACTAACAATACCTCAATCTCTATCTAGGGTGTTTTATGTTTAATTTATCATGCAGTTCTTTTTTTTTCAACTAACTTTATCTGTAATGGGATGGAATAGATATTTCAAAGACAACTGAAACTACGTAGCAAATGGTTGAATCCTCTCATCATAGAATTTTATTTAGCATATGTCGTGATTCATGTTAGAATTTCATTTTCTTTGCTCAAAAAACTGTTGTGCCTCTTATATGTCACTAACTCAAAACTTACATTTCTCGTGTGAACTAGGAATTCAAACTAATTGAACAGAACAGATGAAAACTCCTCTAAATGCCACAAAATAACTCCATTATGATTGATGGCGGATACATGCCTAGAGCCACTAGCACCATGGCCCTAGAAGTGGCCTAAAAAATTCACTACAGACCTAGAGGTGAAAGTGGTACGAATAATTCTACTATCTGACCTAAATCTAAATTTTTAGGATATGAACAAGAATTTTTATATCTATGTGGATACAGATAATTCGAATTCGATTGTGTGTGGATGCGGGGTAGGATATGAAATCGGTAAAATTCGACGGAAATGGATTATCCGAAAATTCTATGCGGATTATCCCATGTTTAAAATAGGATATAATCTTTCTTCCTAGGCTATAAACCGGAGGACAATTCAAACTTAGGAAAAAGAACTTGTTAGGGAGAAATCTTATTGGGTGACATGGTTATTTATGTTCTACCTTTTGAATTAAGAACTTGCTGGCATTTATTACTTATTAGCTAATAATAATTTATCTTTGAGTGTGGGTACCTAGCTTGTTAAGTGTTAATTGTGAGCGATAATATGGACTGCAATGTAAGATTATTGCCTACTGCTTGCTATTGCATCTTTACCTAAACTAATTCTTGACAATCATATAATTCTCTGAGTATGCATAAATTACTCGACTATTTACATCCGTATCCAATCCGAGTCCGCTCGTCCCCACACCATTTCCAACATCCGAAAAACCAGCATTCATATCTGCTTCCATGTATTATCCACTCCACTTCAAGTCCAATAAAGAAAAGCGGATTAGAATATGGGGGATGTAGCATCTGCTCCCATCCGTTTTCATCGCTATACGTGTCTGATTGGTTTTTTGTTCCGCCTCTCTCGCACTTGAGAGCCAAGGTCCTGTTTGGCCAGGCCCACTCCATGATTGGTCTTTGTGGCTGTAGTACTCGGCGGCTGTTTTGGTTGTTAAACTCTGCTGCCGCCACACAGCTTTTTTCTATGCTGCGTGCGCTTCAGTCGGCATCATACGAGCCATTGCCGCACGTCACGAGCCTGAGCCTGGCGATCGGGCCTAGATTAGGCATCGAATCATGCGCAGGTTGCATAGAGCATCGTCGGAGCCTGGCTGGGCTGAATGCAGTCATCCAATCACGCCCTACGCCTCTTGAAAAATTATGGCCCACTCTAGCATGGGTCTGTTCGGCTAGTATTAAAGCCGCCTGATAAGCCGGCTAAAGCTGTTTTGTTGTGAGAAAAAAATACTATAGATTCTAACTGATAAGCCGGCTGATAAGTTCAAGCGAACAGGCCTAATCCTTCCGCAACCACTTGGCATGTGTTAGGCCGGCTAATAGGGCTAAAGCCACCCCTAACCCGTGCCAACCCAACCCCTAATCCTTCCGCGATAAGCATTGCCCGCCTCGGTTAATATTTTAACCGAGGCGGTTCACTAAAGATGCCCGCCTTGGTTAAGGTTTTAATCGAGACGGTTTTTATTACTTGCCCGTCTCGATTAATGATTTTCAGATTTCAAAAAATGCTTTTTCAAATTAGAATTAGAATTAGAATTTAAAATTTCGCTAATGAAAACAAAGATAAAGCAGAAAATAGATGACAAACATATATTACATTCATTCTCGTTCAACGAACCAACATTAAGTTATTACATTAGTGATGTCTTCATCATTGTTTCACAAACACAAATCATTCGTAAGCAGCTAAGGTTATTCATACATATCATTTTTTTTTTCCGGAAAAGAGGTATGACAGAACGTAATCTGAGATTCGTAACTTGTCGCTCTAGTTTCTGATGCTCTCGAACTTCAGATCCCGTGCTAACTCGCTTTCCTAGTTGAAGAACGTCTTCCTTTTATGCGCACTCTCTGTGACAAACTTACATATGTTTGCTACTGTTTGTCTAAAGTCTTGGTCGACCTTCTCCCTTCGCCACCAGTCTTGAACTTTCTTGAGCTACCGCCAGTTGCTGCTGAATTTCCTACACGTCCTCAGGTACTCACAAACGTCCCACATAGAACTGAGCCATAGGGTTGTTTGGCACACTGCACGATGTATAATACACAATCATTAGAGCATATATAATAAACAATCAGTAGGAGTAGTAGAACTAGTAGTAGTGAGTAGAGTAGAGTAGAGTAGTAGCAGGAGTAGGAGTACTAGAGTAGAGTAGAGTAGTAGGTGTAGTATTAGGAGAAGAGCAGTAGTAGTAGTAGAGTAGTAGTAGTATTGATACTTACCGGGAACTCACGCCTGAGTTTTAGTTTCGTGCCATTCTTGATCTTCTTCTTCTCAGATCTCCGATCATAGCAGTCGAGATCTTTCACGTACTTCTTATAAGCGTTGTTTGAAAAACCACTAGTGTCAATGACAATTTCAATAATTATGTTAACTGTAAATGAATAAGTTCCGTCACTTACTATTTCAAACAGCTTTCAAAGTGCTTGTACCCTGCTTTGTTTGTGTCCCGCAAGGAGTCAAATATACAGGCCTTTTCATCCTGATGATAGATTATAAATGCAATCCAGTGGCCCATGATGCCCTACCTGCACCATTTACACAATACAGATTTGAAATGTTCAATATGAGAAGTCATGATCTCAGTTGCTATATATATATGTTCCAAGTATCTTTTGGACTTACCCGAACTAGTGGGCGGCCATGATACAACTATTATCCTGGATCTTCTTCATGGCCTCATAGATATACATTCCCGCCCGATACTTATATTCGATTACCAGATCTTCCATGTATTTCTTTCTCTCCTCTGGGTTCAAGTTCACCAGCTTTTCATGAGTGTCTGGTATATCATAACTCGCGATGGTTCTCTCTGTAAGAAGCATCACAGAGAGAGAGAATATCCTTGCCCAATTCCTTGCTTACATAGGCCTGCATCCTGTAAGGAAAATTCATCATGGCATTATATATGGTGACTAGTTTGTTCCTAAAGTACCTACTATGATGCAGTAGTGTCTAAGTCGTAATTAACTTACAGGGCAGATATGGTGACTTGGGCGA